AATATTCTATATTTGTATCTGCAACAAAGGAGGTTGGAGGTCACCTATTCTTTCTCTCTTTTATTTTTCTTTTCTGCACTTTTAACTTTCTTTTTTTCTGAACTTTTCTTTCTCTTTGTTTCTTCTGTTTCCTTATATTTTATTCCTTATTGAAAATTAGTAAAGTTTCTTTAAAAAAATAATAAAAATGGCACAAGAAAATATTGCACAAGGTTTTAAAAAACCCTATAAGAACAGGTTATTGAGTTTGTGAAAGCTGTCACTGTGGCTTATTTAATCACACTACAAATTAGCATAAATATGAGCTGTTCACAATACTAGTAACTGCCAAAGAAAAATGAAATATGAACTGAAATAGCAGGACTGATGGAAAACAAAACCAGTGATGTGACCTGCCCATATGCCCTTATATTGTCTAACTGCACATGTGCAGCTCCTGCTAGAAAAAAATCAAGATTTTACAAGATAAAACAGCAAATAAATAAGGTATCTTTCACAAAGTAGGGCAGTTCTGAACATATTATCATAGGAAGAATCAGCCTAATTTTATTGATCAGTTGATGGATTTCATAGAGTTAACGTAAGTGCACAGTGTAGTTGAATGCTAGTCTCTAGATCACAGAAAAAAATCCCCAACATTAACTTAGTTCCTAACATTGCAGTTGAGCAACCTGCAAAAACAATAAAACTTGTTTCAAATATTATTATTGTATTTCTTCATTTTTGAATAAATCACAAAGATGTAAATTAAGTATTAACTGCATTAAAAGACAGTTATAGTGGCTGCATCTGGACACTACAGTAAGGAGAATTCTTTTAGAATTCTGGCTTATCATGAATGAGTAGCATGCTGGTGCACAACGCTTGGTTTCTCCTACTAGCAGATGTGAGTAAACAAGTTATTTTACTCAATATTTGTTCAGCAGGAAGTCTTGTTAGATACGAAAGAAACCAGTTTCCTGCCTGCATATAGGCTAAACAAGCCATGGAGAGAACCATCTTGAACTGTTAGGAAGCTCTCATGTAAAGGAGAAGTTGAGCGCACACACACCAAGCATACCACTCATTCCAATGTCAGAAGTTTAAATAATTCTGACTTACCCTGACAACCAAATGTAGTCATCAAGGAGCACCAATTTTACAAAAAGGACAATTCAGATGAGCAAGTACATGATATGGACCATTTCAGATATATAATCCACTCCATACCCCACTGCCCCCAAATGGGTTCTATCATAATGCTTCAGGAATAGAGAATTACAATGTTAATCAGGAATTCCATAAACGTTACAAAACTGAAAAAATCTGTCATACTTTACTCATTCTTCTATTGCACTGCTATGTGGTTTTGGTAATTTTAAGAGAAAAGTGAAATATCTGCAACAAATGTGTCTCTGCACAAACCATCCATCTGAAGAGAACTTGGCCAATATTGAAAAGCATGCATTCAACAATCTGTCATCTCCTAGTAAGCTGAGACCACAGAGAAGTTGTATGCATTACTTGGCATTGATGAGTGTTCAGCAGTTTTCAAAATCTGAAGCATAAAAATTATAATGTCCCATTATATATTAATTTCCAAGATAAAGCTATCACTCTAGTGTGGAGAGAGAAGAGTCCATCTACAGCACTGATAACAGGCTCTACTTATAACCTAGAAAGCTCAAAGTAAGCTATTAACAGCCTGGTCCATGATTTACAACAAAACTATAGTCATCTAATATAAACCCACAAAATGCCTATTTCTTGTTCATTGTACTTAGATTGCACTAAAACATAAAGGCCTTCATAAAGAAAATGTTGAGGAGATTATTCCAATAACCTAATTAAACTTGGCTATTAGTTAGGATCTTTCTGACAAGGACTTACCCAAAGTTGGATAAACATGGTGACTATACAACATCCTATCTAGCACAGCTCACTTGGCATATGTGTTTTTAAGGGGCCATGTGAAATTCTTTTAAGGCCATTTTGATCTTCAGCTTTTATGAGAAGTTTAAGAATTTTGCATGCACATAACACAACACAGAAAGGAAGAAAATTATGGCCAAATGAATATAGATGGATACCTGTTCAGGTTGAGAGCTGATTTGCTTCTCCCTGCTTGCATTTAATGAATGATCTGAAAGGCCCGTCAAGTGTTGCTTTACTGCTGTTTTGTCAGTGCTCAAAGGGTTTCCTGGACTAGAAATGCCACTGTTTTCCTGTCCATCATTGTTTGAAACTATACTTGCTACATCATACTCTGCCCCAGACAGCACCTGATCTTCTGAAAGGGTTTTCTGACAATCCTCACCTTGGCTGTTTGTTATACTCTTTCTTTCCAGACTTTCTAACGAGGAGCAAGAAGTACGATTCTCAGTCTGGGACTCAGTCAGAACAACACCCAGTGGACAACAGTGGCTATCAGAGATGATGACATGGTCTTCTTTATCAGTCATGGTAATGAGGAGCTGGCTGCAATGATTGCATCTCTCTGGGAGAGCTTTTAAGTCTTGAGTGGGGAGGCACTGAACCAGTGCCAAGCTATGATGGGTCCCACAAGCAACCTGAAGCACCACACGTCCTGCCAGGTACTCAACTTTTTGCGGCTTGGTCACTGGAAAAGTATTGGTTACAAGGCCTAGTTGACAGCCACTTCCCCATGCCCATATCTCTCTACTCTGTGAAAGTGCCAAGGTGTGCTCCTCTCCGCATGTCAACTGCAAAATCCGAATTGGCAAGAAAGGTCCAGCTTCACCATCAGAAATGCTGAGGGGGTTGGGTTCTGGCACAGTAGCTTGATTGGCCACAGCACATTGACCAGCAGAATTCTCCCCCCACATGTACACCACCCCTCCTTCAGTCACTGCTCCACTGTGAAAGCTGCCAGCTGCCACTGTAACAACATGTTGTCCACTCAAAGCTTTTTCCAGTATGGGACAATTAATAAAAGCCTCTTCTAGCCCAAGTCGCCAAGGAAGTTTTCCAAAACTGTAAACTTCGCCATCTGAAAGAAAAGAAAGTTATTCAAATTAACTTCAAATGTCATTACATATAGCCTGAGTGGGGGGGAGGGGAAAGAATAAAGTGTGGTAAAACACAATGAACAGAAGACGCAACAGCTTCATAATTAGATAATGAGTTAGTTATCATAATTTGAGAAGACAAACTGATAGGAATAAAACTGCCCACAAATCAAAATCCTGCAGGTAAACAAAATAAACACAGAACTGAAGCTATGTTTTGCCACATTTCAACACTATATTGTACACTTCATACCACCAGGAGTTCATGGGAGTATGGCAGTATAAAAATTAATTAAACTGTATTTACAAAAAGAAAGTATTAATGTATTTCTGACTTACTCTTTCCAATTAATTAAGAATAGAGATAAAAGTGCAGGTATTAGAACTTTGTGTAAATGAACTATTAACTTTTTAAATATCAAACACCATATTAAAACTCTTTTAAATATAACTGGTTGAAAATTTATCCTGACAGTATTTAAAAATTGGCTATTTTGTTTTAAAGCAAATGATTCAAGTTACATACCATCAGATAACAGTACACCATGGTTTTCTCCAAGTGCTGCCTGCAACACTCTTTTTCCGATCCAACCAGGAAGTCTTTCTGGGGTAGGACAATAGGAACCAGCCTGCCACACATAGACCAGGCCTCTTTCTCTTGCTCCTTCTTGGGCTGCTAAGCTAGCATAAATATGAAACAGTGACACATATAAAATCTGGGCAGGTCAGAACTGATACAAAAAATGTACTACATATATCATAAGTGATTTGAATTTCATTATTCAGATGCAGATCTAATCCAAAAAGTAATTGGGTTCTCAATTTTCTGATATTGAAAAGCAGTTCAAGAAAATCTAAGGACACATTTATAAAACCTTAGCATAAATTTAAAATATCTGGAATGCTTGTCCCCAAATGTCTCTACCACTTGTACAGATATGATATGAAAGCTTTTGTGGGTAGCTCTCCCATATGGCAGGTTAATGGGATGTAGGTGAGGAATTCCAGGTTTAAATCGCTACTCAGCCCTAAAGGTCCCTATGAGCCCAAGTCATTTTCCTTAACCTATCTCTAACCTATAAGCTAACACAAGGTTATTTTGAAAATAAATTTGATAGAGCAAAGCACAAGTGAAAAACAAAGTTTTCTATTTGAAAAAAAAAATCCTCTGAACCAGAACAATCCCATTATTCTTCTTCCCATTTGGTTTGAATGTCATATGCAATCTGACTCGAGTTCTAACAAATATCCCCCGAGTCCTCTGATCTAAAATACTGCATAACTTTAAGAAGCACACGTATTAACATATTAGTATTATTAGGCAAGAAAAATTTAAATTTATTAGTCAGCAAAATACTATTATTGTACTCATCTGGGCAGACATATACATATATAAACTGAGAAGGACCAACAAAAAATCCCATAGCTTTGTACTCCAGATAACTGGATATTTACAAGATGGAACTCAACATTCCAATGTTAGTTTGATTTTTGTGTGTGCAAAGTATAGAATTACCTTTCTTCTTTTGAGTCCATCAGTCATTGAAAATGCTCCATCACCAAGTTATTCCTCTTTGAAATAATAATGGGTCTGTGTGGTAAACCATTGAAAACAAAACAACCTTAGGAGGTGAAATCCATGCAGAATGGAAATACTACAAAGTCTAAGAATGATAAAGTCAGCAAAGAACTACACAAAGCTGTAATGAGAAAAAAATCTACTCTATGTTATCCTATTAAAAAAGGCCATTTACAAGTACGGATTCATATTCATCCCAACCACTTTTAGAGAATAACTGGTTAAAAGCTTGTGTCTTCAAGACAGGTAACCCCTTCAGCCAGCCCTGCTAGTACTGCTAGGTGTTAAAGGTCATACCTGGCCTGCTGCAACAGATTATTAAGCAGTAAATTTGTGAGCATTTAGAAAATAATGCATTGCTTGGCAGGAGTCAGCATGGGTTAATCAAGAACAAATCATGCCAGACCAATCTGATCTCCTTTGCTGGCAAGGATGTTTAGCTGACCATGGAAATATAATGACATGGTGTCCTTTGACTTCAGCAAAGCACCTGACAGTTTTCCATGAAATCCTAGTACAGAAGTTGCCAAAATGTGGTTGGGCTATGAATAATTGAACAATTGTTCAACAACGGATTGAACAATCATACCTCAGAAGTGTACATTAATGGCTCTGTATCAGGCTGGAAGGAAAAGTTGAACGGCGTACTGCAGAGCTCCATTCTACGCCATTCAATATATTTATATATAACTTGCATGAGGAGTTATAGAATATGAATATCAAATTTGTGATGGCACAAAAATGTGGTGATAGCAAACACCTCAGAAGACAATATCAAGAGTGAGAGGATCCTGACAAGCTCTAACAATGGGCAGAAATCAACAAGCTGAATATCAGCAGAGACAAATGCAAAGTCCTACATATGGGTAGGAAAAATCAAAAGCAGGAGTATAGGACTGATGGATCATGTGAGCCAATAGTGTAATGCAACTGCAAAAAAAATAAAAAAGTTATTCAATATTTTCTAGAGAACAGTGCTATTGTCTTTAATATACAGCATGTTAATTTATTTTATCAGTTTCCTCAATCACAAAGACAAAAGAAACTTATTTCTATTTTCATGGAATAAAATTTTAAAACAGGTGAAATGAAGGAAGCCTTTAGAGAATCAACTTTATATCATGGTATTTATAAAAGTATGAAAATGTCATATTTCATCCCCATTAACGCATATATTGATATTCCCCACTATATACACATACTTATGTTTAGAAGCTCTATTATGATGATAATGATAGAAGCCTATCATGTCAGAAAATAACATGACTTCCCTACAATTCAGGGTGCAGGTTTTGTTGCTTACAAGAAATCTAATGCTTACAGATATTATGCAAGAAGTAACAGTAATGGCTAGGTTTAAAAAAACTCTACTCTTCAGCTGGAAGGATCCCTATACTGTGCATATAATTCCTTTAAGTGTTTGCTACCATAGCGCCAATCAGTGACACATTAAACATATATTCTAACAATTAAGTACAGACTCACTTTTAGTACACATAGAATACCTACCATGATGCCATGTTTATGATTTTTCAATTCCCCAAGGTCCATTCAAACTTCAGCCCCACTCCCTACCCAAGCACTCAATAGGATGGATCAGCCTACTGAGTCTGAAGAGCTTCTGATTCCATGAAGAATTCCACAGGAGGAGCAGAAGACAATATGATATTTGTCCATTTCTCCGTTACTAGTTTCCAAGACAACCTCCCCCCGCCTTTAAATCTGCCCAGGAACAGTGAGGGAGGTGCTACTAGGAACTGTAAAGATCTGTGTACTGTACATTAGCATTCATTCCACTTTCCATGGGCTGCAGTGCTGAGCTAAATGTCACAGAGGGAATTCTCCCACTGGCAGAAAAGCAGCTGGATCCAACCTAGCAATTCCTTGGTGTGTTGGAGGTTAGCACCAGGAATGTATGTCCTGCTATGAGCCATCTTGCTAGCATTCTCCCAGGGAGTCTGAGGCAGACCTTTTGTAGTGCATGTTGCTTCACTCACAGTGCTATTGCTCCGGCAACTCTAAATAAGTTTGGCACTGCTGGAGCAGGGAGATCCTCCCTGTTTCATTATTTAGTTATTAAGGTCATGAGATTTAATACTCAAACTGAATAACAATAATTTCAATTTTCCCTGTAAGGACACAACAAATATTTAGCTATAAGAACAGAGAGGGAAGATAGCTGACAATTTCTCACTAGCTTAGACCTAGTTATTACCATGTCTTGGTATAAGATGAATCTTATCTTGGTAAAAATAGACTGCAAGGAGAACAAGGAGTGCCAAATAAGAACCCAATCATTCAATTAATTATTCCACATTCCTCTAAAACCTTATTTAAAAAATCCAGTATCACATCATAAAAGCAATGACAACACAAACAGCAGGTGGCTGAAATGCTTGTAATATTATAATTAGCATTTGTAACATAAACATACTTAATAAAGAATTGCTACATCCTAAGTCATTTATTGCTATACTCATGCATTGATTCCAAACACACCACATACTTTGCACCATATCTAATTATACTATATTTTATCCCAGAGACTCTGCTAGATAATCTAAGCAGATAGCCACATAATCAAAGTAAACTATGGTTTTATGTAAAAATGAATTGCAGCTAGCAAGCTATAGTTTGCAAGGATCTAAAAGCCGTTATTGCTTATACAAGCTATAGTTAAAACTATACTTGATTTTCTACCTATATTTATAAAATACAGTAATGACTGTTCCTCTATCTCAAATCTTAGCATAATGCAATGTGTGAATGCAGGCACTGTCTACAGTTTATGAAGATAAGACTCATCTTATGCCAAGACTATATCATGGCAATAACTAACAACTTCAAGAAAAAACATTCAAATTACAACTTTGGCTTCTCCCATCTACTGAAATTCAAAAATACAATTTTCTACATGAAACCAAAGCATTAATAGAAAATGTCAGAGGAAATATGCCTTTCTTTAAAAATCCAGCGATTATACTGGCCTAACCTCCTCATTTCATAGCAACCTACTTTTCAAATGACACATATCCTACACATATGCAAAGAATGACAGTTCTATCTACCTAGTTTAGATTGATTTTATCATATTTTCCTCCTAGAATACTAAAACATTCCTTCAATCTCTCTTTCACAGGACTTAATTTCTAATCTCCTGATTATCCTCACTGTCTTTCTCAGAACCTGTTCTTTTATTTGAATCTTTTTTAGTAAATACCAATTTTTAAAGTAAATACAGATGTTAATTTAGTGCCTAGGACTGAACCTTATCTCATCTCATGTGATGCTACCCCTCATCTTGATGAGCATTCTTTGAACATGGCTCTTCAGCCAGTTATTTATCCAACTTAATTGCCACATCATCCTGTCAGCATTTAATTTGCTAATCAGACAACAGAAGATTCTTAAAGTAGCTGGCTATTCTACCACTTAATATATGGAACCTGCAATAAGTGTTGCAGTGCAGATCAGTCCTCTTTGTGCTTCCAAACAGCTGCATCTGGATTCAGAATACATCCATGCATTCAAGCACCTTGGAAAACTTGGTCAGCCAGTTTTCCATAGGTATTGATCAAGCTGAATCCTCTCTGGACTGTTTCAAAGAGTTTGGGACTTCTTAGCATTCCTTTCCCTAAAGAGTTCTGAACCTCTGTAGAACCTGAAATTCCCCAACTCAGACAGTAGCTGTCATGTGGGTGGATGGTGCAATTTTGGCTACATCAGAAGCCATATTCAGGAGAAAATAAGCCAGCTGGGTGACTTTGGGCTAGTCTCTCTCTCTCAGCCCTACCCACCTCACAGGGTTGTTGTTGTGAGGAAAATAGGAGGCAGGAGTATTAGGTATGTTCACTGCCTTGAGTTATATATAAAAAAGGCAGGATAAAACTCTAATGATCTCTCTCTTTCACACATAGACTACTGGGCCCATGTCATCACACTTACAACCCCCTCCCCAATTTACCCGTGGCATTTAGAATACAACTTGTTTTTCCACGAACACAGGGCCTGACAAGCACTCTCCAGACCGTGTCAAGGGCAGCCTATTGATTTTTAGCATGTATAGGGAAGGAACAGAGGGCGATATCCAACAGGTATCACGCTGCTCTTTTATCTTCCGAAGAATTCATGGGAATGTTTCCCTTGGGGGTGGGGAAGGGCCCGAATCTCAGGAGGGTCAAACTCATGCGTTTCACGGTGCAGGTTCAGCCCAAGACACAGACCGCGAGGAGACTATTTTCTGCAGAATGGAGAGAGAATGCCAAGGCGCAGGGGCAGAAAGCGGGGGGGCTCGCGCGAGCGACAGGCAGACGAAAGAAGCTGCGCTATTTACGAGGGTCTCGGGATATTCCCGCCGTCCCTCCCGCTCCTAACACGTGACTGAAGTTTTACACCCCAGCCAGGCGCAAGCTCTGCCCCGCGCGCCGCCTCCCGCTCGGTCTCTCAGGGCTCCGGGAGGGGTAGAAGGAAGGGGCCCCCAGGATTCGGACTCCCTCCCCCGCGCGCGCGACCCACCGCTTCCCCACACAGCACCTCCCTTCCCTCTCACCTGAAGTCTCGCGACCGCGCTTTAATTGCCCAAATCACCGGCGGCTTCTAGGCACGCTGGAACCAGCTGATTCACGTAAAGGGAAAGAGGCGGGCTTTGCTGGGCCGAAGGGGCGGAGCTGGCCTGGCGAAAAAGGTGGGAAAGAAGCAGGAAAGGGGGAGGAGGATAACGACGGGATCTTGGATGGGACAAACTAGTGCAGAGGGCGTGAGCTAAACAACTTCTGCTAGAGATAGGGGTAATAACACGACTAACAGCGGCGAGAGGTTGAAAAGAAAAGGAGAACTGTTAAAGGAAGAAACGAACAAAAGAACAATTCTCGTAAAATTTCAAGAAGCAGCTGTTGTTGGCACTTTCTTAGAACTGCATACGCTTGCTTTTTGCTCCTCTTATTTCGGAGGAGATGATGAGCAGAATCCATAGTAGAGCGACCAGATCTGGCTTGGAAAACTCCATGCGACCTCTAGTGGTCAGCAAAGAGAATACAGACAATTCTACCCGGCTTCTGTCCTCTAGCGGTAACGTGGCTTTTTAGCAGATCAGATCTAGTACGTTCTACTCCAGTGTTTCTCAACCTTGGCAACTTTAAGACGGGTGGACTTCAACTCCTAGAATTCCCCAGTCAGCCTGGCTGACTGGGGAATTCTAGGA